GCCCAATTATCCACAGAGGTCTCCTCCTCTCCAAAACAAACGGACCCAGTGATTTACACCAATAGAAACACTGAATAAAGCTGTTTCATGTTACAAATCTGTGTTTCTCTGACACTGTTTGGTATGTCAGAGATGGGCCACAAGCCCAGCACCTGTTAATGTGTGCACACACCTTTTTCTCTGATAACTTAAGATCCAGACGTTCATGAGGTTTTTACTGGAAGCCGAATTATCTGCAGAGGTCTTTTTCTCTCCAACACAAACAGAGCTGATGATATAAACCAGTAAAACCAGAGAACAAAGCAGTTTCCCACTAAAAAAAAATAGTGCTTTCCCGCTTTTTCTTTTTGTCTCACAAGGGCTTCTTAGAACAGACATTGTTGCGAAAACACGGAAAAATGCGGAAAACGCAAAAATGTGAATGGCCCTATTTAGAGTCAGTGCTCAGTTTGTCCACTCTGGGCTACTGTAGAACCATGGCGATGCAACATGGCAGTCTCCATAGATGAAGACCCGCTCCCTGTGTAGATATAAATTGCTCATTCTAAAGCCGCACGTTATGTGACGCACGTCAAGCACACACTGGACGCTTCACACTGCAGCTCGTCAGCAGACAACCATGCAAATCGATTACTACTTTTGCTGAAATAGCTGTACTTCCTCCGCCTCTGCATCAGCTTAAAATCATATGAGCCTGTAAATAAACTTCATTTCTCACCTGAAGAGCCGATCTGCAGAGCTATGACTTGCCAGGAAATGTCTTTTTGGCCATCGTCTTATATCTTATATCATCTAATGACGGGATTGTTGGTTGTTTAGCTCGGGATATTTATTGACCTCAAAAGCGAGTCTCTCCTCATCCATTGTTTGCCACACACAAAACAGAGCAACAGCTACAGAGTTCTCTTTATGCATCAATGGGGAGGAGAGGAGTCGAGCTGCCATAGGAGCGGAAGAAAAGAGCTGCTACGGGAGCTTGTATCTACCAGCAGAGAGCGAGTGGAGAGAATGCATTTAATTCCAGAGGCGGTGAGGCTGGAAATAGGACAGTGGTGTAAAGTGCCGCTGGGCAGCACGTCCAGGGCGTCTTGCGGCCGCCAGTGTGGTGTTATACATTGAAAATCATGGAGGTGTATTTTTTGATGCGTGATGTTTGCCACCGGTGTGTTCTGGCCTTAAAGTAATGAAAACATAAGTATGTTTTCTTTAGTGTTTAATCACCTGAAAATAAGACTTATTATATTATATTCCATTTCTGCCAGTATATCCCTTTAAATCCTACACACTGGACCTTTAAATACACTAAAATTAAATATTACAGCTAATATAAAACTGACCCACGGCTGTAGGTTTCTAGTGAGCCGCATTTTCACCATGTGTTCTCCAAACAGACACCCTGACATCAGTTTATTAAAAACATAAAAGGGGCAATCTGGAGATATTTAAAGCATCACATGAAGGCTGTTATGTCACCATATGACGGAGGACTTGTTTCATTTTCTTATGAGACGCCAAAGCTGTTCAATGTCATAAAAAGTTGACTCTTGCAGTTTTTGCTTTGATATATTACCTTTTACATGATATGTTTAACGTGTGCCGCTCTGTGGCCGTGAACATCACAGTTTTGTCTTAACATGCCAGTTTTGTTCCCTGTAAACTGATGTGATCAGTGCTTGTTGTCTCAAGTTGTTTCAAAGTCAGGAATAAACCATCAGCTCTCATTAGACCTTGTGAATCACTGTTTTCATATCAACAATGACTCAGACAAACCCAATGGGGAATACCTGCCCAGCAACAAACTGCAGACAGACAGTTATCTCACAGCTGAACATGCAACAGGAGCGCTTGGATACAAAGTCATACATGACGATACGATGCACATTTTAACTATGAAGGTCCTTGTTGGATACAAACCAGCTCTGAGGCAGGAGTGTGAACCGCTTAGCCTCAGGGCCACTCAGTCACAGGCAATAAAACATGTGATGTGATATATATAAAGCATTTGATGTAATATCTGCCCAGTGCCCTTTTTATTTCACTTCATTTTGCAGGTGATCACCCCAGAGCTTGTGTCCTGGTAAAATAAAAAACCTCATCATTTGAAAAAGTATCTCCACCCATCCACTTAAGTGTAGCTTCTACAGCAGCTATTTCATTTGGTGCTCTGAGAAACCCAATAGCTTTGAAATACACACTGTGGCATCAGGGGCTAAACAGACGGGGAGGAACTCTGAACCAGGCGAGATGGAGTTCAACGAGCCTGTTCAGGTGGAATAAATCAGGCTGTTTGTGAACAGAAGCCGCAGTTTGAGCAGCGGCGGTGACTGTTCAGTGTCTGTAAAGTTTACAATCCTCCTGTTGAGCCCAGCGGCCCTCAGAGAAGCTCCCTCAGTGGTACTGTTGTTATGAGGAGGATTAGTTCAGCTACCAGACTGAAGTCTGTCTGTATCTGCACTGACTCACTAATGGACATTCTCCTCTGGTGAAGTTTATGTAGTCTAAATACTTGAAAAAAAGTCCATCCAAACAGAGAAATAGTTCAAATGTTCTCATCTTTAATGTGCAGCCTACTGAATTATTGCACCAAAAAAAAAACAAAAAAACACCCTGTGCATCCTGACAGCTCATGATGATTTTCCCATGACCACCACTACGTGGCGCACTGAGTCATGCGCCCAAACCACTGCACACTCACTGCAAGTCTACAGCCCTGCAACCTGAAGGAGGCACAGTTTAAAAAATGTCTGTGAGACAAATGTGTGGCCAATAAAAAATGCTTCAAAAATATGCAGATGAAATGAAAGCAATTTTTCTTTTGTGCTGACAATGACACATGTGGTTAGTGCGGTCACACAGGGCAGAATGGAAATTTTGTTTTTTCCCCGAAACAAGTGAAAACTCTGCCAGCTGAGATACTTTCACTGGTTTGGAGCCAACGCTGCCAGTTAAAGAACTGTCATGAAACCAGTTGCGGCCTTTCTTGTGGCCAGACGGAGCACTGTCTGAGCTCTGCATTCACTGACAACATCATCAGTGTCAGTAAATTCATAAAGAAGGATTTAATTTGGAGTGAAAACAGATGAAGTTTGGTTTTGGCGCATTTGAATAAAATCAGCTTTATGGGATTTTAACTGGACAATGTGAGAAAGTGAAACTGACAAATTGAGAAGTGAAGTGAAAATAAAGTTTATCCGGTCAGAGCAGCTTGGTGAGCAGCGTGTTTATGAAATGATCTGGGGTCTGTCTGCCCCGCCGGCCTGGGAAGCACAGATACCCCCCAGGAGGAGGAGGGAGCTTGTTTTTATAAACGAAACGCCCGTCATTCAAAATCCCAAGCCAATGAGACTGTGCGAAACTGTTGCCTACACTGCAAAAAATATCTGCAGCAACAAACAGCATGTGCATCAAGGCCATATCTATGGAGTCAACACTGGGGACCCACCACCCCTCCCTCCTGAGACACGAACTTTTGTTTGGTTTGCATTTTTAATTTCTCAACCTGAAAGTATAGAAAAAAAGACATTGTCAACAATAATAAATTAAATCTTAAATTGCCCCCTGGGGACAAATAAAGTTTTTTGAATTGAATTGAATAAGGTCCCAAATGTCCTTCAACAAGCTGATGATAAATTCCTTATGTCTTCAAACAAGTACTTTCTAATTAACAGCGGCTTAACTTGTCAAATTTGAAGGGCGTATCAAACTACGCACGTTATTAATCATAAATAAACAAGTTTCAACCATCAAATTTGATCTGGTTTTGGACCTAGTCCACGTTTATATCCTCCTGAGACAAAATGTCCTCATGGGACATCACATTTTGGATTTACTTGACCTTATACTTCATTCCACTCAATTTACACCTGTTGTCCTCGTTCATGGACACTTTGTTGTGCCATCTAGTGGTAGTAAGAGCACAATACACTAATCCATGTAAAAACAAGATGGCAGCCATCTCTGTCAAGTCAGTCTGCAGCCGATCCCGACACAAAAGTGGACAAGGTCCAAAACCTGATCACATTTTATGGTTGAAACTTGTTTATTTATGATTAATAATGTTTGCTGTTTGTAATTTGATATCCTTCTTAGAACCTGTGTCCTCATATGAGGACATCACATTTTGGGTTTACTGGATCTAATCTTGTCCTTGTTCGTCGACACTTTCTTGTGCCATCTAGTGGTAGTAAGAGCACAATACACTAATCCATGTAAAAACAAGATGGCAGCCATCTCTGCTAAGTCAGTTTGCAGCCTAGAGCTGCATTTTCCTGACCAAAACCGGACAGACTCCGACAGACTTTCTGATTTTTAAGTCTGGACTTGACCCAAGTCTGATTTCTCTGCACGGTTTGTCGCCAGTTTTAAACTTTCCCAATGGCAAGTATTGTCTAGCATCCTCCATTTTCATTAGTTCAGTCTGAATATTTACGCCTCGTTGTCATGTAAGTAACAAATTCCAGCACTTGAACAGGACATACCACAACACAGCAGCATGTCAAGTGTGCTGAACCCGAACCAAACCCGAGCAAAATTTCTGATTTGTTATCCGAACCCGTTCTGATGTGGCTCGTGTTGGATATCCACACTCTACTGCAGCTGAACCCAACATAATAATTATTATTTAGTGCTATACAACATAGTTTGTTTATGATTACATAGTGATTATTTAGGACGCTGGTGCATGGTCGCTTGTTGTAGCGTAGCAATTTCTTTTTAGATTTATACTTAAAATGCCTCTTTCCAGGTGAATTTATCTGCTTTGACAAGATTTTCTGCCACCTGTGAGCTGAGCTGATTCATGCATATGTACGACACTTTATTCAATATGACCCAACTGCGAAGACGAGCATTTTTTACAGTGTGCCCCGGCTGGCACAGTAGGAGGGAGGAAGGGAGAGAGAGAGAGAGAGAGAGAGAGAGAGAGAGAGAGAGAGAGAGAGAGAGAGAGAGAGAGGGGGGGGGGGGGGGGGGGGGGGGGGGGGGGGGGGTGGGGGAGAGCATGGCCGCAGGAGCCAGAGCGCTGCAGACTTGCTTTGGTTCCTCCACATTGATAACACCGCTTTCTCGTGCGCTCTCGGTGATGTGGCGGAGCAGCTCGTCAGGGGACGTTTAACCCGGAGAGTGTGCGCGTTTACGCAGAGGTTTGATTTACTGCGTGTGTTGCTTTGCTGTTGTTGCTCGGCAGGGCAGCTGCGGGTTCAGCCGGAGCTGGAGCTGCTGATTTCTTCTTTCTTGGCTTCTTGGTTGATTCGCAGCGAACAAGGAGGAGAGATCCGGAGCTGCTGGAGAGACTGACGGCACAAGGACTGCGCTTCTCTTCTCTTTCTCTTTATATTGTGGAACATTCATCCTCTGGTTTTTCTTTTTTTTTTTTATCCACTGCGTACCTTGTCTTCTCTTCTCTGTGGGAAATTCAAGACGAGTTGGAGAAACTGTTCGCTGCGCTGCGCGGAGTTGAGTCGGAGGAAGATTGTTCAGGCAGAAATATTGTGGATTTCCAGCGTCTCTTTACGACTTTAAGTAGAACTGGTTTTCATTAAAGTGAAGGGAGAGTGAGTGTTTGGTGCAAAGTAATTGATCGGACTGTCAAAACGCAGACTGAACGAGAAACAGCTGTTTTACAACAACAGATAAATATTGCTTTAGATGTGTTGTAAACACGGAGGACACATCGAGGCTGCATCTGTGAGGGAATAAAAAGCGCAAAGTGGACTCTCCTCACAACATCTCACCACCAGAATCCTTAAAACCTGAACCAGAGGAGGGACTGTAATCCATTTATCTTCACCGGAGTTCCAGAGCAAATATGCCGCAGGTGGAAATGATCCTCTTCCTCATCCTCATCATTGTGATGTGTGTGTACGGCCAGGACCCGGCTTCTAAGGTGGTGTCCGACCGCTACGCCGTCTACTGGAACCGGACCAACCCCAAGTAAGTAACCCGCCTGCCGGCCCGCTTTCCCCACAGGGACGCATGGGCACACATGGGCTCCCTCCGCCCGCAGGAGGCGGCGGACTTCACCCTTGACGCTGCCCGGTTGAAGCTGCTCTCCAACCGCTTAACAGTAGTTTAACTGTGCTGTGTGTACACTCTGAGCTCCATTTATCACAAATAATCCACTTGGAGAAGCGAAAAAAACCCTAATTTTATATATTTTATATTTTAAAACTAACCGGTTTGTACATTAATTCGTAACCATGCATATGGAGCTATAACATTTGCTTTGTATTACCACCATTATGAACTCTTCTGCACACACAAGGTTGAATTCAAGGTTCAACTGCTGTTTGTAAGCGCCACACGACTACAACCTTTATTTGTTGCCTCCGCTGATGGACTGCTGAGATGATTCTAGTTTAATATTCCTCCATATCTGAATCATCTTTGTAATCAACTCTGCACACCGAGAATCATAAATCAAACCTGACAGAGGAACATGGCATTTTCACACAGGCTGTCCGCTATTACGCACCATTACGCGCAATTACGCATTTATGCTCAGTGTTTGCTGCACGTTCAGGTCGAAAATGAAATATATGAGGAGCGTTTTCAAGCGCCGGCAGAAACGCATTCAGCTGAACTGCGCCGCTGCGTTGCAATAATGCTGAGTGGCTTCCAGTCTGCTGCCATCGATTAGGATTGACAGAATTGTTCTTGTGTGCCAAGTGGAGACTCATCCTGAGACTTTGGAGAGATTTTTCTCAGTTGTGAGTTTATTGTGCTATCGCTGCTCTACTTAGAAAGTCCTGATGAAGTGTATTTTGTTGTGTTTTTGCAGTTAAAAACTAAAATTTTCCCCCCAAGAGTCTTTTTATATGAACCCAGTTCTACTAGTTGAAATACTAAAGTGACATTTCTCTTCCTAAACTCCCTCCTGAGTGTGTCAGGCCACCATCCTTGGTGACTCAGTGCCTCACTCTTGGCACTTGAGCACATAGTGATATAATGAGTGTGTGTGACTTTGTTTCAGTTGGACAGGAATACTTTCACCGCGCTCTGGTATTAGCTGGCTACAGTTTCGGCATGAGTCAAGAAAAAGAGAAAAGAAATTTATATCAGCATTTGCTCAGGGACGAGAAACTTGTCTGTTGGGCTTCAGAGGAGTTGAACTGACAGGATGTTATTGATACAAATGCAAATGAGATGGTGGTGACATCAAAGGCTGATGGAGTTCCTGCTCCTCTAACAGACAGATACATATCTGAGTCTGTTAACAGCTTTCTGTCCCACTCACAGGCTGCAGGTTCTTCTGTTTTTTTTCCCTCTTGGCATTCAAGCAGTTCCCAGTTCCCAAGTCTGGTTTCTTGGTTGCCATGCTCCCCCATCCAAGTGTCCCCCCCTCCGCCTCCTCTGCCCCCCTCCTGGCCCACGCTGGGGCAGACAATAAGGGGGTACACAGGGGTATTTCAGCTGCGGCCAAGGCACAGCGTGGTGCTTGGTCTTGTGAGAGATCCACACATGCTGAGGTCACACACGTGGTAGTAACCAGGCGAGTTGCGGGTTAAGCAGCACAGAGGGGACCGTTGTCAGGGTCAAAACCGGGGCAGTACCGCCGGCCATGGGGCCCGTTGACGGCCCCGGCACGGCACCCCGCCTGGGCTTTGTCTCCCCAGAATGGAGGCTAAATAAATGAGTAACTCTAAATGACTGTCTCCTTTTCTCATTCATGACTTTAATCTAAACCTGACCCCGGCTGTATAATATAAGAGAGGGCCGTGCTCAAAGCCTGGGGGCCTCCTGACCTGCAGCAGAACCTAACAGTATTCCATGCAAGCTCTCGGGCCCCGGATCCCTGCTGTTTAATGTAACCATACTCAGTATTGGAGCCCTGGGAACCTGCTGCGGTACAGTCCCAACTTCCAGATGAGCTTTCTTACCCCCCTCTTCTGTCTTCTCTGCTGCATATTTGACCAAAGTGGGGAAAAATGGCATCTGGAGCAGCAGTCCATACTCAGCCATTCATGAAATCCCCTACAGGAGCTCTGGAATTGAAATGGGAAGTGAGTCGTGAAAAATGGAAATGCGATGACATTTTCATGTTTTTCTATTGTTTCAAAAGGGGCTGAAGGGAACCTTTTTTTTGTAATTTCGATAAACATGCGTCCATGTTTGCTGTGCTTTCATCTCGGGGAAACATCTTCCTGCGCTGCTGATGCTTGTTGCTGATTAGGCTCAGATGAGCAGGACTCTGAGCAGCGGAGGAGGAGGGATTTACAGCCCTGAGGATGGCTCAGCTTCGCCTGGAGTTTGAAAAGCTTCCACGGTGACAGCGAGTAGCTGGGCTTGTATAAGCTACTTAATGAAATTAAATGAAACTCCAGTATTGGGGAGCCTTGTTAGAAAGAAACTGCTGAGACACAATTGATGTAATGACTCTTAGTTGTTTTTTCGATGCCAGATCCCCCCAAAAAGAACCATAAGGGCTTCAGATAATTGTGCCATTTTGGTTTTCATCAGTCAAATGTAATTCACTCTGTGCGGAGTCTGCAGTGCAACATTCTGCACTGTTCGGTCTACTCACAGTCAGTCCATTAGTCTAAGTGTGCACATAGTTGCTATGCAGGTTTGCTAAGTCTATGAATGCTCCTGATTTAGATGTAATCCTAAAAAATGTGCAAAGAGTACGTTGCAAAAACACTGCTGTGACTCCTTTTAGCCGCATACCCAGAATGGTTTCAGATATTGTCCTGAGGAGTGATGTGCAGCGGCCACACTACAAGGTATGAATCTCAAAGCACTTGGTACCACTTTCTAATGAGGCGTTCTTTATGAAAGTTGTTGCAAATGGATTCATTAATGTTTATAAATGATTTATTCATGTGTATTGATCAGTAAGAAGCCATTTGTCATATAAATTTATGTGCAACAAAGCAGACCCCCTCCAAAGGTCCGTTCCACCTCCCATCTACTGCTGCTCTAAAAACAATATATAAACTACTTATTGACATTTACAACTGCAGATTTGATATATCATTGTAGTCAAATGATCCTTTTTAAATGACTTACGGGTGTTATAACTACACATCTGATGGCTTATTGGAAAGTGAGAAACTTATTGATAAGTGGAAATGTTAATATTTAACTGAATATTGTGCAATTATGAAGAGTAACGTGTAACTGCTGATATATTGACGAGGATAAGTTGTAACAAATATAATGATTAATTGATTAGTTGTCAACTATTAAATTAATCTCCAACTATTTTGATAACCGATTGATCGGTTTGAGCAATTTTTTAAGAAAAATGTCAAAATTTTCCATTTTCAGTTTCTTAAATTTGAATATTTTCTGGTTTCTTTACTCTGCTATGACAGTAAGCTGAATATCTTTAGGTTGTGGACAAAAAAAGACATTTGAGGTCGTTATTTTGAACTTTGGGAAACACTGATTGGCATTTTTCTCCATTTTATAGATTAAACTAAACGATTAATTGAGAAAATGATCGACAGATTAATCGACAGGGGATCTACGGAGCATTAATTTATTAACATTATTAAACAGTAGTGATGATTTATAAACCAGCGATTTATAAAGTATGGTTAGTAGGAAGTTGTAAATGTTAAAAAGTTGCAGATAAATGGTTTTAAGTAAGAATAAAATCCTTATTTATAGCTTATTAAAGATCAATCGATGTTAACAAACTGTGTACTAACCACTAGTTAAAATTAATAAACCCTTTATAGTGTGTCTTATTAGATCAGATAAAAGTGATCCTTTTTGTGTGATCAAAAAAATCATTTTAACACATGTATCAACCACTAATAAAGTAATTAGTTACAGCTTATGAAGCCTGTGTTCTTTACAAGCATGTGGCACCGAGACAAAAACCTCCCAATGAAGACAACAAATCAAAACCTGGAAAATAAAAACTGTAGCCGTCCGCGGTGGAAAAGCTCATGTAAGAAAAATGAGCCACAGATGTTCCTTGTCAGCTTCGCCGTCTGTGTCGGCAAGCAAATGATGGAATAAAGTGTATGAGTGGGGTATTTACTGCTGCTCTGACAAGGAGCTATTAGCGAATTCCCTGCTCACCAGCTATTTAGCTGCTTCATTAAAACCCACCCGGGTCCATATGGTCCGCACGCAGGCGTTGCCGTGGCCCAAGGTGTTTATTTGTTGCTGATAGGTGGGATCAACGGAGAATCAGGGCCGAGTTCCGTCCCTAATCTCCCAAGCTGTTTGTGTCTCCGACGCCATGGAAACTGATACCCCTCGTCATCAAAGCACCTCATTGGGTGGGACTAAGGACCTGACAGCTGGGGGAGAGAGGGATTCCAGTATTCGGGGAGAGCACTGTCACCCCAGGGGTTTCCTTTAATCCCTGATAATGCCCATCTAAAGCTTTACCCAGCAGATGCAACATATCTTTCCATAAGACAATCAAAGAATGGCTTCAGTGGCCTGTTTTCATGTGAGATATAAGTGTGGTTATTGACTTAAAAGACCTCTGTGATGATTCAAACTGTCTTCTGGCTCTCAGTTACTGGACATACTGGATTGTTTTTAGTTGAGGCAATACCTCAGTAATGGGAGCAAGCTCCTGGGTTCGACACTTGCGCACATTTGTTCTCACAGCAGAATGACCTCCGCTATTTGCTTTTCTTACTCTGCTCTCTTTTTAATCTCCACTTAAAGAAACAATACTCCATTTTTCACTTGGTGGCGAGCTGATGTTGTGATAGTTTCCCAGTGGCATTGTGAGTTGCCCCATTCGCATTGTTCCCAGTGTTTACCCTCGCTTTCCCCTCTCAGCCTTTTCCCGGCTCCCTGCTGCTCGGTTCCGCTTGGATTAAAAGACGGACACAAAAAGGCAACCACGTCCAAATATTGACTGGGTCTCAGGACCGCAGCCCTCTCCCAGTGCCGGCACAGAGTGCCTGAAAGGCCGCCATTGTTCCGCTCGTACTCAGCGGCCCATAGCCAGCTTTTAG